GTAGCGTGTGCATGTGTGTAGCGTGTGCATGTGTGTAGCGTGTGCATGTGTGTAGCGTGTGCATGTGTGTAGCGTGTGCATGTGTGTAGCGTGTGCATGTGTGTAGCGTGTGCATGTGTAGCGTGTGCATGTGTAGCGTGTGAATGTGTAGTGTGTGTATGTGTAGCGTGTATGTGTACGTGTGTAGTGTGTGAGTGTATGTATCCATTAAAATGTGTGCACATCTGAAAATCATCCAAGTTCATTAAAAAGAGTCCATGCCTATTAATGGACCTCAGTTATTGTTTCCTCTAAAGGCTCTCAGAGTGTGCTGGCACATCCCCCAAGAACTAAATATCAGTAATCCACAACTTGCAACTTCCTCTCAAAATTCAAAGACTTCTTGCTACACGAATAATAACAAGATTTCTTGTTGAAAATAGACCAGGAAAACTGCCTTCTTCAGCGCAGAAAATCTGTTTCTGTTCATCCTACCTAAACTTTTGTACTGTGTCACTGCTACACACGCACACAAAGAATACTTTTTCTCATTTTGCATTTTCTGTCTCCCTGGCGCTTTACCTAGACTACCTCAGGGGGATGAACCCACAGGGGGTGAGGGAAGAGCGGGGATAGGTGAAGAATAGTGGGGAAGAGGAAAGGTTATAGAAGAGGAGCCAGGGCCCAACACATCAATAAAGGCATTTGACATCTGCAATACTTGACTGGTAGGCTCAGGAGGAAAGAATCGAATGGTACACAAATAACCCGCACATAGAAAAGAGGAGCTTACGACGACGTTTCGGTCCGACTTGGACCGGGTTATTTGTGTATCGTTCCAGTCACGGTATTGTGCCTTTTTTGTTGTTTATAGAATCGAATGGTGTTGGGATTCCAAGTGACACTAGGCAAGACTCCTCGCCTCACAGAGACGTACGTCAATATGTGTGTTGTTATCACGGCGAGGATGTGGGGAAAATGTGTAAAAGCAAGACGGTGTTTGCAAAGATAAACGGGACGTTGTCATTGTCCAAGGTCTGCACCTGCGAAGGGCAGGAAGAGTTGCGTAATCGTTGAATACTTTGCAACTAAACTTAAGGAATGTCTTGACAAACAAGCTAAGCTTATGTTGATTTTTCTTATATACTGAATAAAATCAGTAATATAATATATATAATATATTTAATTAATATATTTAATTGTAGTATATGGTACTAAGTAATTTCAGGTTATCATGGAATAAATTATGCAAGACACTAAATGGACTTTTATTGGTACAACATTTCACTCATGGGAGGGATTAGGAAGGAATGTTTTTTTACAAGTGTTTTTACAAGTATATAGAAAACATAAGAACATTGCATCATAACCAGTACACTCGGCGACTGAGTTCAGGTGACAGATCAGAGGAGCACTGCAAAAGATCTACTGGCCCATGATGTTCTAAATTTCCATTATTGTCTAAGACAGTACGGACGATGGGTATAGCCATGGTGAACATGGACCTTCCTGGAAAATCGTCTTGGATAGTCTAATAGCTGAAAACTCCAGACACCTACGTTTAACTTCCCCATTTTCATGTAATAATAGGGTGGCAATTTTCCATTTTATGAGGTAAGTTTGGAAATTGCAACGATATATTATGAAGAAACTTAATTTTTTGTGTTTAGAAAATGTTAGGTGTAATTTTAAGGACGAAACTGGATTTATAGAGCTTAAAAAATAGCATAAAAGTTCAGAGGAATCATAGATTTTCATATCTTCTGTTTTTTTTGGGGGGAAGGGAGAGGAGATGAGAGGAGGTATGTGACGTTGGGTGTCCTCCCAGCCATCCACTCGTTTAGAGGTTGGGAAACAAGTGGTTTCTAGCTGCGAGAGAGCCAGGCAGAGGAGACTCGACCAGTGTGGAGTGTGGGTAGAGAGGGAAATGAGACTGTGGTCTCATTTCTGTGGTATTATGAAGAGTTCTCTTAATTTTAATACTTTTGTCACTATTCTGTCTATTTCCCACTTGGCACAGTTTTGTAACAGATCATTGTAATAATCCCAATACAGTGCTATTTTATACCCCTGGCAGTAGCCTACTAACTGTATCTCGCCCATACTCTTTCTATTAGTGTAATAAATAACTGTACACTTGGGCAACACTAGTAATCTTTACTGACGAAACGAATAACGATTTCTAGTGTTGCCCATGTATCCTAGTCTTCAATTTATCGGTATTATATACCATTTGCAACATGCTTACAGCTGTTCATGCAGCGAAGCGTTGTCCCAGTAAAAGCTAGTTTTCCCACGAATGACTTTTCTTCATTAATGTCGGCAGTACGATATGTGGAAGCTAGTGAAGGTAGGTATTTTCTCCTTGTGGGTCACCCGCCGTCGTGGGAAACGACCAATGTGCTTCAAGAAATATACAAGCTTCATTTATCACCGAGGAAAATTTACTATTGATAAATTGCGTGGTGGCATTCTCATTGCTTCACATGAGTTGTTTTGCTCTGTGCGGAAATCTGAGATGATTTAGCATATATTTTTCAATATTATTTTCCAAAGTTTCAACAGTTTTGTTATTTTATGGTTATGTTATGACAAGGAATGTTGTAAAAGTGGTTGCGTGTGCACGCGCGTGTGTACTCACTTATATGTGGTTGCAGGGGTCGATTCACAGTTCCTCGCCCCACCTCTTCGCTACTCGCAACTAGGTCCACTCTCTCCCTGCTCCAAGAGCCTTATCGTACCTTTTCTTAAAGTTATGCATGGATCCTGCCTCCACAACTTCACTCTCCAGACTGTTACACTTCCTGATAACTCTAAGACTGAAGAAATGCTTCCTAACATCCCTATAGCTCCCAGTGTGTGTATTCACCTAGTTGTGATTGCAAGGGTCGATTCATAGCTCCTGGCCTCGCCTCTTCGCTGGCCTCTACTGTGTGTGTGTGTGTGTGTGTCTGTCTGTCTGTCTTTTCACCTATATATTTAACTATATGTGATTACAAGAGTCGAGTCACAGCTCTTGGCCCCGCCTAGTCACTAGCCTCCACTGGGTTCGCTCCCTCCTGGCTTCGAGAGCCTTATCATGTATGGATCTTGCCTTTGCCACTCCTCTGTCCAGGTCGCCCCAGTTCCTGACCACTCTAAGGCTGAAGAAATACTTCCTAACGTCTCTGCGACTTATTGGCATTTTCATTGTTATTCAGTGGGTTGGGGTAATGAAATAGCTCAGTTTCCAGTAGGTAGAGGTCATAATTTACAGTGTTTCGTGAAATGTATTCGTGATTTAGGCTGTTTTTAATTCGTGCAAAACGTGATTCACGATGTTTCTCATTGGATTACGAACATCATTTAAGCTGTTTACAGTTATATAAAACCATGATTTCGGCTGTTTTTGTTTTGTTTTTTAGTTGATTGAGGTCATGAACCAGACCATTTTCTTCAGTGGATTGCTGCCGAGATTTGAATATTTATAAGTGGACTGAGGTTATAATCTAAGTTATATTCCAGAGGGTTGAGGTCATAACTTCGGCTGCTTTACCAGAGTTAAGACCATGAACAAGGTAATTTTTTTTAGTGGCTTGAGGTGGTGAGTTAACTTATTTTTTTCCAGTGGATTGAGATCGTGAATTAAATGGTTTTTCCTCATAAGGTAAATTATTTTACAATTTTTGTTAAATTTTAGCAGCAAGACGTTTGAATTTTACTTTATTATTACTATTATATTCAGTGTAAAGCGGTAAACTCGTAAGGGTCATACAGTGCCCCTAGAATGAGAGGTAACTTTTTTGAGGGGGAAAAATCTGAAGGACTTATTTAATAATCTCTATTTTCAAGGATGTTATTTTTTTTCAGTTATCTGTTGCTGAAATTCAGATTTAGAGATAAGTTTCTATTATTAAATTGAACGTTAAGAGCTTATTTGGAAATATTAAGCTGCTAGATAAAAACTCTCAAAGCCAGTATGTGGGGGGGGGGGGGGGGGGGGGGTGGGGGGGGGGGGTTAATTTTTGCCTCATTTTTCAATATTAATCTTAAATGATCATAATTTTTTATGTTCATCCAAAACATTATATGATTTTAATTTAAATGATTTTTTTGTTTAATAAGGACACGAATTTTTTGCGTTAATGTTAACTTATATTCCGATTTTAATGCTCTCACATATCTTAACTATATAATAAATATAATGTTTAATCTTAATTCACATCACTACTTTTATCTTTAATCTTAACTGATACGATTTTTGTATTAACCTTAACTGATATTGTTTCATTTTGTGTAATTTTGTGTAATTATGTGTAATTTGTGTAATTTTGTGTAATTATGTGTAATTTCTATATTTAAATTTACTTAATGTTTTTATAATTAACTGTGGCCAAAATTTTTATTTTTTTATTTTTTTCAACATGTCGGCCGCTTTATTTCTTTTCTTTTTACAAATTTTTATATTACACATAGATACAAACTTGTAAAGAAAAATAAGCTTGCCATAAATTTCGACTGCATCAAGGGAATTGTCAAAAAAAAAAAAAAAAGAAAAAAAAAAAAAAAAAAAAAAAAAAAAAAAAAAAAAAAAAAAAAAAACTTTAATAAATGAAATTATATCTTATTCATCTATGTATACAAAGTTTTCATATAGACAAGAGGAAATTTTGAGTAAGTAAAGATATACTAGACTTTTGACGGAAGACAATGCGCGGAATTTCCCATTTGTTATGACCGAACTACCACTATTATATTTATAGCCAAGTTCTAAACCCGTAGTGACCATAGAACACCTGGAAATGGGAAGACATGATTACCTTTTATTCGAGGAAGAAAAGTCTCCAGTTTCTTGGATCAAGAGCCCTTCATAAGCATCAAGGCAACCCCCTCCTCTTATCTCTGTACCTTGAAGAGCACAGACTTAATGACTGCCTCAACACACTGATTATAATCAGTAATGTAATTCCATTAACTTCAGGTTTAAGGCAATGTGATCTTCTTAAGTCATTGTTCCTAAAGAGGTATAATTAAAACCCTGATAGTTAAATGCAGTAAACTATTCTACATTGCATTACAGAAAAAAAATCAAAATACTTAACATTAACGAGCACTCGTCGCCACTCACTCGACTGATTCATTTACGAGTTAAAGAATCTACTTAAATGGGGTTACTGTATATGGAGGAGGAATATCGCTTGAGATCTGATTTGGAGCAGAGGGTATATAGCTGTCTATGGAATCTCCAGACGGTCTTAAATAGTCAGGAATCGATCTCCCCAGTGGTATTGGGAAGCCAGATATCGCTCCATTAGGTGACATCGGGAAGTTAGCCTCTCCGGGTGATGAAGAGTAGTTTAATATCGGTCCTCCAGGGGGCAGAGAGTAACAAGTCGTCGGCCCACCTGGTGGTAGTGAATAGCAGTAGCTCATAGGTAGTCCTCCAGGGAGCATCGAGTAGGTAGGAGGCGTTCCTGCAACTTGTATTGAATAATTTGTGGGCAAACCTCCCAGTGGTACCGAGTAGCTTGGAGACGATCCTCCAGGGGGTAGCGGATAGCTAGGATTTGTATTGTCAAGCGACGCTGAATTCCCAGAAGCCATTCTTCCGTTTCGTTCTTGGTAGTTTAGAGTCTCTTCTTCAGAAGTTATCTTGATGCCATTAAGTTGTTTTTTCAGTGACTCTTGATATTGTCCTGACGAATCTAGATATTGTCTTGGCGGCTCCGGACACTGTCCTGATGAATCCAGGTATCCTCCTTTAGACTGTTCCGAGACGCCAACACCTTCATCTTCAGTAAGTGCCGGATAATTCACCATCTGAGATCCGGTTGACGAACGGCAGCCGCTGGAAGATGTCTCATTGTGAAACTGAAGTCTGACATCGCCAGAAGAGACTAAACGCTTCGGTTGGTCAGAGTGTAGGGTGTTGTAGTCCTGGTCAGGCACATCACACATCCGGCAGCAGAATACGATCATTACAGCTGTGAAAAAAAAGAAACAATAGTTTACATACCCATTTTAAACATTTTGGGGGGATGACATGATTTCAGCCCAAGCTGCTTATAACTGTGCAAAGAGAAAGAGATCGGAGTGTGTACTCACCTACTTGTAGTTACAGGGATCGCTTCATAGCTCTTGGCCCCGCCCTTCGTGTGTGTGTGTGTGTGTGTGTGCGTGTGTGTGTGTGTGTGTGTGTGTGTGTGTGTGTGTGTGAGTGAGTGAGTGAGTGAGTGAGTGAGTGAGTGAGTGTGTGTGTGTGTGTATTCACCTTTTGGTGGTTCAGTGGGGTATCAATTCACAGCTCTTGGCCTCGCCTCTTCGCTGTTGCTACTAAGTGCCACTCTGTCTCTGCTCCAAGAGCTTTATCGTAACTCTTATTAAAGCTGTGTATGGATCCTGCCTACACTACATCCCTCTCGAGATTGTTCCACTTTTTGAAACTAAATGTCTGAAGAAATCCTTTGTAACATATCTGCTGCTCATCTGAGTTTTCAACTTCCAGGTGTGACCTCTTGTTGTTGTGTCCCATCTCTGAAACATTCTGTCCCTGTCCTGTGTGGTGTGTGTGTGTGATTGTGTGTGTGTGTGTGTATGTGTGTGTGTGTGTGTGTGTGTGTGTGTGCGTGTGTAAGTTTATGTTTGTGTGTGTGTGTGTGTGCAGTCGCCTAATTCTGGCTGCAGGGGTCGATTCATAGCTCCTGGCCCCACCTCTTCACTGGCCGCTACTAAGTCCACTGTCCCTGCTCCAGGAGCTTTATCTTAAAGCTATGTATGGATTCTACCTCCACTACATCACTTTCCAGACTATTCCACTTCCTCGCAACTCTATGACTGAAGAAATACTTCCTAACATTCCTGTGACTCATCTGAGTCACTGTGTATACTCACCTAATCTAATTCACCTAATTGTGGCTGCAGGGGTCGAATGTGTGTGTGTGTGTGTGTGTGTGTGTGTGTGTGTGTGTGTGTGTGTGTGTGTGTGTGTGTGTGTGTGTGTGTGTGTGTGTGTGTGTTTAACAAGAAACGTTGAAAACAGGAACCAAATATCATAAAACAGGTGAAAGTTACAATCGTCTTGCTGCTGTCTTAAATTTGTTCTCCTGTTTTGAAACGTGATTTTTTTTTAAATACGACAGTTTCACCAATAACACTGATTTTTCACTTATTAAAGAAACACTTTATTTATTTGTCTTAGTATACAAATATCTGATATAATTTTATTTTATAAGCATCTGTCATTATTTCTTAAATTCATAATGTATACACATTTTGATTTAAATATTTTTTGATAAGAGGCCGGGTAAACTGGGATGTTTGAAGTCTCAGACTCAGAATTCGCTCTCTCGTTGTCTCTCACTAACTCACTCTTATGCTCTCTCTCTCTCTCTCTCTCTCTCTCCCCCTTTCCCACTTACCTCCAGCAGCTGCGAAGATGAGGCCAATAGCGAGCATATTGCTGTCCACGGCACATAATATGATGCCCAGACAGAGAGCTGCTGAGCCGAACACCCCAAGGGAGACTACAGGATAACCAGCACATCCGCACGCATTCTCCTGGTAATGTGAAGTGAAATTCTAAGTCAATTTCAGTGCCTATTAAAATCCAAACAATGTCTTTGTCCTCGATATTAGTGTAAAAAACTTAATCATTTTGTACTTAAGAAATAATGAAGACACACAGAGGCGTTCAAATATTAATTATTATTATTATTAATATTTATGGAGAAACACTAAATCCATAAGGGTCATACAGAACTTGGGGAAAGGAAGGTAATTTGATCTGACCCGAGGAAGGGGAGGGAACCTCTATTAATTTAGATAAGGAGTTAAGTTAAATAAGATTTGCCAGAAACAGGACAAGTGATTCCTGACATAGTCATATAAGGACCCACAGCTGGAGTTTTTGGTCATCTGACCGAAGCCTTCCGCTGGCTTATCGGTCCACCCCTTTAATAATTATTAAAAATTAGAAATTTCTAAATTTTTAGATAAGGAGCTCTTCGCAAACATCAGAACACCCTTTTACCCCCCCCCTCATCTTGAAATCATTATGTTCTCTCAAACAAAATATTCCTGAGGTTTATTTTTCAACTGTAGCGATGTTACCTGGCCACAGCCTATTTTATCAACTACTTTAAAGTCTACTCATGTACTTTAAAAGTCAATTCAGCAATTTTAAAGTCAACTTAGCTACTCAAGAGTTTTCCCCTCAGGACAGTAAATTCAACTATCGTCGTCTCTAGACAAGTCGATCTGTTGCAACAACACAGAAGAAAAATGATCTTTAAGTGACTGAATTAGATTATTTTGCAAATTTTCTAAATATATGGCTGGACTAAGCGAAAACAACTACCTAGCGTGTCTCTTTCCCCCCTAAGCAGACGGAGGTTCGACCTTCCACTGCTACTTGCGATAAATGCCCCACAGGGGGGTTTTAACGCTTGGTCTAAATAATTTAACAGTACCCAAGAGGATAATTATTATATTTATATTAAATCAAGGGGAAGCGCAAAAACCCGGAGGAATTACAGCGCCTGGGGGGGGAATTTGTGGAAGGATTCAGGCTTAATTCGGGGAACTGGAGCACAGATCCAATTCCCTAAATCAAGAGCCCCTCACCAACACAAGGAACCTTTCCTGAGGGGCCCAAGAGGATAAATAATTTACCTTAAATAATCTCTGTATGATGCCTCCCTCCTTCGCAGCGCTGGTCTGCTGACCAGCATGAGACTGCTGAACAGCAATTACTTGTTGGTGCTGTTGATGCAGCGCTGCTCAAGCTGCTGCTGCTGTTTTGGGGATACTGCTCGATTTGATGCTGGTGCTTCTGCAGCTGCTGTGTCATTTTGTGATGCTGCTGCTGCTCAAGTTTTCTGCTGCAGCTCCTGTTTGGTTTCCTGCTGCTGCTGCTGGAGTTCTTGCTCCTTGAGTTGCAGCTGCAGCTGCTCTTGCTTTGCACTTAAAAGAAAATAAAAACCCGGAGGTAATTAGGTACAAATTTTTAATCAAAATAAAACAAAATTGAATGTAAATGAATAAAACTAAATACCAGGATACAGCTTTTTACCTCTGCAGTTTTGGCTACAGGCCAGACTTGTATTAACTGCCAGATCAACTAGATTCTTGCTGCGATCAGCACGCAGGCCCCTATAAACCATTACAGCCTGGCTGTAACTTGATTCAGAAGATGACCAGTTTCCCCCAGAAAACATTCACCATTGTTCCGGCATATTTCATATTTCTTCTGGTGGAAAGCTTCAGAGAGGTTTGGTTAGGTAAGGTTTGTCAGGAAACAAAAAAGAGCTTCCTGACGCGGGTCTTAGTCATATGATGACCTGCCATTGGAGCATTTGGTCATCTGACGGAGGCCTTCCTCTGGCTTACCGGTCCACCCCTTCAAAAATTAGGGTTATAATAAGCTGGAGAGACATAAAATTTAAAAGTATATTAACACTGTGTTCCTTAAA